ATATAATGTATATATATATATGTGTGTACATATATGTATATATGTATGTATGCATGTATGCATGTGTATATATATATATATATATATATATATTATATATATATATATATATATATATATATATATATATATATCGAGAGAGAGAGGAGAGAGAGAGAGAGAGAGAGAGAGAGAGAGAGAGAGAGAGAGAGAGAGAGAGAGAGAGAGAGAGAGAGAGAGAGAGAGAGAGAGAGAGAGAGAGAGAGAGAGAGAGAGAGAGAGAGAGAGAGGGGCAAACAGACAGAGAGGCAAATAAACATACACAGACAGACAGAGAATGGCCTGGGGAAGGGAAAGTCACTTCTCTACCTAAAAAACGTCAAACAGAAAAGACGAAGGGGATTTCATCAGAGACACACAAGGCAGTCAAAAGTGCGAGTGTTTAAAAAAATGGAGTTGAGGCAGAGAAGGAGAACAGGCGAGAGAACAGACGCTGAGCGAGCGAAGGATCCTCGCGTACAGATAAGGGTTACATAGACTTTTTTTCTATTCTGGGACACAAGTTTCCTCTTTTTAGAATAAAACGAAGCGGGTAAAACGAAAATAAAAATAGGGGTTAATGTCTCCCTAAATTAATGCTATAGTTACCCAAAGACAGAAAAATAAAGTACACCTGTATAATTACCTTAGAGTGGTTAAACTTAACAGGACAAGGGGAAACAGATTAGTGAAAACAGAGGATGCATATTTTAAAAAAAAGAACTGAAAAATATGTCATCATTGCCCACCGAATTAATAAAGACCCTAAATAAAAGACTAAATAAAAGACTAAATGAAAGAGCTCGTAATATACTGAAGATTTACCTTCACTTTCACAACTCCCAGAGACACCAGGACAAAAAGCTACAGATTACGAACCTGCCACAGCATTCACATGGGGGAAGGGGGGGGGGGTGACACGAGGGGAGAAGGGAACCAGAGTAACATGATGCAAATCTGCGTCAACGAAGGAAGAGTTGCAAGATCTTACAGGAGGAAAAGGGGACAGGGGGAGGGAGGCGACGGGGTGTATCACACAGGGATAGATTATGGTGTGTTTGCTGATGTGTGTGTGTGTGTGTGTGTGTGTGTGTGTGTGTGTGTGTGTGTGTGTGTGTGTGTGTGTGTGTGTGTGTGTGTGTGTGTGTGTGTGTGTGTGTGTGTGTGTGTGGTGTGTGTGTGTGTGTGTGTGTGTGTGTGTGTGTGTGTGTGTGTGTGTGTGTGTGTGTGTGTGTGTGTGTGTGTGTGTGTGTGTGTGGTGTGTGTGTGTGTGATATGCTTATGATTTTGTCTAGAGCTTGTGCATCTGTGTACCCGTGTCTTCATGTGGGTATGCCCCCTGTACGAATTTCCTTCCTTTGAAAGTCTGGGCCATTTTGCATTTGCTTTCGCCAGAGGCACTGCCACGACCTAAACTAAAGAGATAAGGGGAAATCAGTAATCACAGGTACAATATAATCAATACCAATAGATATTATGCGTTGAACTCGGTAGGTCGTCCGCTCAGAATTCCAGAAAAGATTTAATTTCCCAAAGGCACGAGAAGGCATCCCTCGCCTTCCGTGCACGTCTAGACCACCTATTATGACCTTATCAACACAGTCACTGTGCTGAATCAGACTCACTTCTTGGCCCTTCAGCACTTCCTAAATCTAATAACAACAACAATAGTAAGAAATCCTTATCTATTTAGAATATACCATTTACATCTTTTATCCCTAGTTTCCTTTTATCGTTTGCATTTATGAATACGAATGGCAACGAAGTAAAAAGGCAAATGAGAGAAAATGGGAACTCAACGTCCTTTCTCCATACGAGGGCGGGCTTCACAATCCTTAATCTCTACCCTGTTCATGTCTGTAATCTCTCTCTAATTTCCGTCCCGGCGCGCATCACCACCGAGCAAATAGCACAAGTGACCTGGCTGCAACATGAAGATTCTTTTTAACAAGATAAGAGAAACTTCTTACACAAGTTTCCCCATGGCATGCAGGGAGAGAGAAAATAAACACTGCTACTACTCCAGTATGCAGATATATAGATATGTATATGTATATATATATATATCAACAAATCCTATGAACGGGCTTTCAAAAGGCTACAGTCTAGAGATATAAAGTTAAAAATCCGAAGTCTACCATTAAAGTCTTGCCTGTGGATTCGTGTCCAGTGTTAAGATAAGCCAGGCGGGGCAAGGGTACATCCTCCTATGTTAAAGGGTGGTGCAATCAGACTTCTATCGGCGGGGGAGAAGTACAAAGGGTGGCTGGGAGGGTCTGCAGACAGCGATTTGGGGCCACACAGTGTGTCGATCGGGGGGGGGGGGGGAGAAGGAGCCAGAGGAGGCAGGCGAGAGGGGGGAGAGGAGACAGCGAGAAAGGGAGGGAGGGAGGAAGACAGGCGAGAAGGGAGGGAGGGAGGAAGACAGACGGAAGGGAGGGAGGAAGACAGACGGAAAAGGGAGGGAGGTAGGGAGAGGGAGAAGACGAGAAAGGGAGGGAGGGAGGAAAGCAGACGAGAAAGGGGGGGGGGGAGGAAAACAGACAAGAAAGGGAGGGAGGGAGGTAGGGAGAGGGAGGAGACAGACGAGAGAGGGAGGGAGGGAGGGGAGAAAGCGGGTGATAATGAAATCAGTGAAAAAACAACAATAAATCGAATGGAATGCAAAGTAAAACATGAGAGGGATTTGAGTGGGATCTAGAACGAAGGAGGAAGGCTTTCACTGGGAGAGAGAGACACAGGATTTAGCATTTGTTAAAAAGCAAAAACATGTTTATAAAGAGAGGGGAAAAAGACAAGTGATCTTGAAAAGGGTGATAAACCGTCAATCATGGATGGGAAGGAAAGAAGCTGACGTTGAGATTTGTGGAATCAGTGATAGGAGAGAAAAACAAAAGGCTAAAATTTCAAAATCTTTTCAGAGAAAACCAAGTTATGGGACTAGAAAAAAAGACCAAGAATGAAAAATCCTTGAAAATATGGGTTGTGGTTTATCGATCTTTTTTTATATGTCCTTTTTGGATCGTAAATTGTGACGTATCAAAAACTTCTTTTTCTCAATATTAGAAGAAAAATAGAACTAAAAAAAGAAGACGGGGTAAGACCATCAAAGCGGGACGACGGATAGAGAGAAAGAATGAGAGGAGACAGACAAGAGGACGAAGGGAGAAGAAGTAGAAGACAGGGTGACACGTTGTCAACACTCGAGCAAGCAGAAGGAATAAAAGGGTGAGTTGGCTGACATGACAGAGTGAATCAAGCCCACGCACAAGGTCCGTGGCGGTCCAAGGGCCACGCGCAAGATGAGGGGAACCCACGCTCGCTTCCACACCGGTTTGGTCTCGACAGGGTCACTCGGGGCGGGGTGGGGGCCATGGGGGGGGGGAGGAGGGAGGAAGGGAGAGAATTGTGAGGGGAGATGATAAGAGAGAGGGAGGGAGGAGAGAGAAAGGGAGAGGGGGCGGTAGAAAGAGGAAAGGAAAGAGAGAGAGGGAGAGGGAGAAAAGGAGAGATAGACAGATAGAGGAAGGGAGAGAATGAGTGAGAGAGGGAGATAATGAGAGAGTGAGAGGGAGGAAAGGAGAAAGAGGGAGAGGGAGAGAAGGAGAGAGAGAGAGAGAGAGAGAGAGAGAGAGAGAGAGAGAGAGAGAGAAGAGAGAGAGAGAGAGAGAGAGAGAGAGAGAGAGAGAGAGAGAGAGAGAGAGAGAGAGAAGCAGCAGGCAGACAGCATAAGAAACACATAGAGACAAACAGAGAGGGAACCAAAGACATAGAGAGAAAGACAGAAAGAGACAGAGATAGACCCATGGCAAACAGACAGGAAAAAAGAGACAGAAATAGACACAAGATGCTAGCAAGAACAAGAATAGAAACAAAACACACGAGGAGGCGAGATCCAAGAACGGGAAAGGGGGCGGTGATGAGGTCTTGGAGTGTGTGTGTGTGTGGATAACAACCAAAGGTGGGTGTGTGGATGAGTCAAGAGGCTTGGGTGACTGACCTCGCCCGCTCCCGCCGCACGCCACGGGGTCGGCCTCCTCCAAAGCTCGGTGCGACCTGCTCACTTGATTGGCCTGGGAGAGAATCGGCGTACAAGGCTAGGTTCCCACACGCGGTAAACAGGTGATTGTCCTATGGTGATTCTCAGGTGAGTGGTTCAGGTGAGTGGAAATGATTACAGGTGAGTGGAAGTGATTCTCAGGTGAGAAGTTCAGGTGAATGGAAGTCGGAGGAGAATGGTGATGAATGAATGGGAGTGAAAATGGATGGCAATGATGAAGAAAATAATGATGAAAAAACGAAAGTGGAAATGAATAGTAAAGATGGTGAGAGTAATGATCAGAAAGGGAAGAGGATTGGAAGAAAGTAATAATGGTGGCAATCATGAGCTGCAGTTCATGTGGAAAGGAAAATGAGGAGAAGAAATCAAAGAAATAAACAGAAGAGAATGATAATGATGATTCAGAACCACATTTTCAGTGAAAAAAAGGACGGAGAAGAAAAAACAAGACATATTAATGATCATTATAGATATCTACAATCCACATGAAAATGAAAATGAAATACTAATGATAAGAATTCCGAATCACATAACAAACTGAGAAACGAAAAGAAACCAAATAATGATGATAATAAAAAAAATTCAAGTGGAAAAAAGGAAGTAGAAAAAACAATAAAACAAGAGCATAGCGATGAGATCAAGTCCTGGAGAGGAGGCCAATTGCGTGAAGACAGTGCCAACCAAAGCGCCATGGGGAAGATCCACCGCGGCTTCGCTCCACGCCCTTGCACACGCGGTTTTACAATAAACATTTTTTCTCTCTACTGCATGTATCACAATACCCTGTTTTATTATTATTATTATTATTATTATCTTTTTTTAATGGCGAGCCACACATATATTTTTTGTATATTTTCTTTTCCATTTTTTAAATTGTGAATTTGTGGTAAAATGAATTTGTGATAATTGCATATATGGTGGTATGATTCTTCCCTCATGGGTATGGCAATGGTTGGGAAATTTGAAACAAACAAAGGAATAACGAGAGATAGAGATAGAGGTGAAATATAAATTTCTATCTGGTTACATAATGGCTATCATGTCAAACAAAACAGTAAATCAAAAACATATTACAAAACATTTTTTTCCTCACTCATAAAAGCATTAACAGAAATAGCAAAATATTCTATCACCTAAAATGAATGAAATTGGCTTGCTTTTACCATTATAATTCTCTGCTGCAATACATGAATATCAGTCCATGCAAATATCTAAAAATGAAGAAATTAATGAAAAAAAAAATATATATATCCCTGTTTATGCAAATTATATAATTTCCTAGTTTTGTCACCATGCAAAGTAAGTCTCGGTGAGTTAACAAAATAAACAAAACACAAACCATATAAGAGAGTTTATGTTTAACCACAAACATTCATACAAAACCCAGTCACTCAATTTGACTTAAATATTCTCTCTTTTTTCCTTCAAGCAAATCATATGATTATTTCTTAATTATTCATAAAATCCCAGCGCGAAAGAGTGAACCTTTCTTAAAAATTCAAATAATGATTATAAAAAAATGGGTTCGTAGCCCATTTCATCAAAAGGAAATGCTTATAAGAAATTATTTAGACTAAACTCTACAAAAAAGCAAATATCTAAAGAGAAAAATGATAATGATTAATTTCTTTTTCTTAATACTGACACTAAAAACACGCACAAAAATCCCATTCTCTTTTTTATTATTCATATTGTCTAAAATACCTACAAACCATTTTTCTTTTCTCTCTAACTAAAACTAAAAAATCTTAAGCTCGTATCCCCTCCACACCGCCGTAAAGAAAAAATCCTCACCACCGACGACAAATAAATACATAAATGAATAAATAAAGAAATTGATAATAAATAAACAAAAATATATATCCTTGACTCCTGCTCACCTGAAGGACGTCTCCTCGAAGCCCGTCCTCGAGGTCGATCGACTCTGCCGCTTGGTGGATTTCTTGCCCCGCCGCGGGTGCGCCCTCCGCCCAGAGCTCGAGGTGTCCGTCGAGGAGCTGCTGTTCTCCTGCGACTTGACCGGTTCTGCGGGTGGAGGAGCAGGCGGTTGGTTGCGCGGGGGGGGGGGGGGGTGCAACAGGAGCAACGAAGGGAGGAACAAGAAAATATGCCGAAGGCCTTTTCGCTAATGCGCTGACGAAGCATTAGCGAAAAGGCCTTCGGCAAATTCGTGTGTTTTCTTGTTCCTCCCTTCGTTGCTCCTGTCACAATCTGTTCGTCATGAATTCCACACGTGTGGGGGTTTGTAGGTGTGGGTGTGTGTGTGTGTGTGTGTGCGTGGGAGGGTAAGTGTGGGTGTTTGGGTGGGTGGGTTGGTGAGTGGCTGTTGGTGTGGGTTTGGATGGGTTGTTGTGTGTGTGAGTGTATGTTTTGTCTTTAATGTAAAAAAAGACTAAATAATCATTTTCCCAACTAAAGAATGCGGACAATACTTCAATCACAAAACAAATATCCAACAGTAAATGTACTTCGGCAGATACTTCCTCATAGCACCTAAAAATAACCTTAATGATAACAAATACTAATGCCGGTAACGATACCAATAACCACCAGAATCACCATTAACAATAAAAGTACCTATCAAGGCAATCGAGAGGCAATACCAACACTCGTCCTCCTGTCCCGACGCACTTACCACGGCACCCTCCCCCAGGTCCCTCGGCCCATACCAAGGCACCTCCCCAGGTCCTCGGCCCATACCAAGGCACCTCCCCCAGGGACCAGGTCCCCAAGGCATCCTCGGCCCATACCCAGAGGAATCTCCCCCAGGTCCTCGGCCATTACCAAGGCAACCCTCCCCCAGGACATCCCCCCAGGTCCTATCGGGCCATACCAAGGTACCTCCCTCAGGATTCCCCCGGTCCCTCGGCCCATACGCAAGGCACCTCCCAGGACCTCTTCCCCTCCCCTTGGACCATATCCAAAGCTCCCTCCTCTCAGGTCCCCGGCCCATACCAAGGCACCCCCCCTACTTGGTCCCTCGGCCCATACCAAGGCACCTCCCTCAGGTCCCTCGGCCCTTACCAAGGCTCCCTTCTCGGGCCCATTACCAAGGACCTCCCCAGGTCCCTCGGCCCATACCAAGGCTCCCTCCCCCAGGACCTCCCCAGGTCCCTCGGCCCATACCAAGGCACCTCCTCCAGGACCCCACGCCAGGTTCCCCGGCCATACCAGGCACCTCCTCAGGTTCCCTCGGCCCATTACCAGGCACCTCCCCAGGACCTCTTCCCCCAGGTCCCTCGGCCCATACCAAGGCACCTCCCCCAGGACCTCTTCCCCCAGGTCCCTCGGCCCATACCAAGGCTCCCTCCTCCAGGTCCCTCGGCCCATACCAAGGCACCTCCCCCAGGACTCCCCCTTCCCCCAGGTCCCTCGGCCCATACCAAGGCATCTCCTCAGGTCCTCGGCCCTACCAAGGCTCCTCCCCCAGGACCTCTTCCCCCAGGTCCCTCGGCCCATACCAAAGCTCCCTCCTCCAGGTCCCTCGGCCCATACCAAGGCACCTCCCCCAGGACCTCTTCCCCCAGGTCCCTCGGCCCATACCAAAGGCTCCCATCCCCCAGGTCCTCGGCGGCCCAGGCCCACGGCCAACCTCCCCCAGGACCTCTTCCCCAAGTCCCTCGGCCCATACCCAAGGACTCCCCAGGTCCCTCAGCGCCCATACCAAGGCACCTCCCCCAGGACCTCTTCCCCCAGGTCCCTCGGCCCATACCAAGGCACCTCCCCCAGGACCTCTTCCCCCCAAGTCAGGTCCCGGTCCATACCAAGGCACCTCCCCCAGGACCTCTTCCCCCAAATCCCTCGGCCCATACCAAGGAACCTCCCCCAGGTCCCTCGGCCCATACCAAGGTACCTCCCCCAGGTCCCTCGGCCCATACCAAGGCACCTCCCCCAGGACCTCTTCCCCCAGGTCCCTCGGCCCATACCAAGGCACCTCCCCCAGGACCTCTTCCCCAGGTTCCGCTCGCCATAACCAAGGCTCCCTCCCCCCCAGGTTCCCTCGCGGCCCATACCAGGCACCTCCCCCAGGACCTCTTCCCCCAGGTCCTCGCGCCCATACCAAGGCACTCCCCAGGACCTCCTTCCCCCAGGTCCTCGGCCCATACCAAGGCTCCTCCCCCAGGTCCCTCGGCCATACCAAGGCACCTCCCCAGGACCTCTTCCCGCGGTCCTCGGGCCATACCCAGGTCCCTCGGCCCTTACCAAGGCACCTCCCCAGGACCCTCAGGGTCCTTCGGCCCCCGCGTACCTCCCCTAGGCTTCCCCCAGTCCTCGGCCCATACCAAGGCTCCCCAAGGACCCTCTCGCCCCAGGTCCCTCGGCCCATACCAAGGCACCTTCCTCAGGGTCCTCGGCCATAACAAGGCACCCCCCAGGACTCTTCCCCAGGTCCCTGGCCCATACCAAGGCACCTCCCTCAGTCCTCGGCCCTTAAGCTCCCTCCCTAGGACCTCTTCCCCCAGGTCCCTCGGCCCATACCAAGGGCCCCCTCCCCCAGGACCTCTTCCCCCAGGTCCTCGCCCATACCAAAGGCACCCTCCCCAGGACCTCTCCCCAGGTCCCTCGGCCCATACCTCCCCCAAGGCACCAAGGCACCTCCAGGTCTCGGGCCCTTCGAAGGCTCCCCCCGCAGGACCTCGGCCCCCCAGTCCCTCGCCCATACCAAGGCACCTCCCCAGGACCTCTCCCCCAGGTCCCTCGGCCATACCAAGGCTCCCTCTCCAGGTCCCTCGGCCCATACCAAGGCCCCTCCCCAGGACCTCTTCCCCAGGCCCTCCCCCAATACCAAGGCATCCCTCAGGTCCCTCGGCCCATACCAAGGCATTCCCTCAAGGTCCCTCGGCCATTAACAAGGCTCCTCCCCCAGGACCTCTTCCATCCTCGGCCCATCCAAAGCTTCCCCCTCCTGCCAGGCCCTCGGCCCCTACCAAGGCACCTCCCCCAGGACCTCTTCCCCCAGGTCCCTCGGCCCATACCAAGGCACCTCCCCCAGGACCTCTTACCAGGCCCCAGGTCCCTCGGCCCATACCAAGGCTCCCTCCCCCAGGTCCCTCGGCCCATACCAAGGCACCTCCCCCAGGACCTCTTCCCCCAAGGCTCCCTCCCGCAGGACCTCCCCAGGTCTTCGGCCCATACCAAGGACCTCCCTAGGACTTCCCCCAGGTCCCTCGGCCCATACAAGGCACCCTCCCCCAGGACCTCTTCCCCCAGGTCCCTCGGGTCCTCCTCCAGGCCCCGCCCATACCAAGGCACCATCCCCCCCGGACCTCTTCCCCCAGGTCCCTCGGCCCATACCAAGGCACCTCCCTCAGGTCCCTCGGCCCTTACCAAGGCTCCCTCCCCCAGGACCTCTTCCCCCAGGTCCCTCGGCCCATACCAAGGCTCCCTCCCCCAGGACCTTCCCCCAGGTCCCCTCGGCCCATACCAAGGCACCTACCCGGACCTCTTCCCCCAGGTCCTCGCCCCATCTCCCCAGGACCTCCCCCAGGTCCCTCGGCCCAACTCCCTTCCCCCAGGTCCCTCGGCCGCATACCAAGGCCCTCCCCAGGACCTCTTCCCCCCCAGGTCCCTCGGCCCATACCAAAGGCTCCCTCCTCCAGGTCCCCTCGGCCCATACCAAGGCACCTCCCCGCCCAGGACCGTCTTCCCCCAGGTCCCTCGGCCCATACCAAGGCACCTCCCTCAGGTCCCTCGGCCCTTACCAAGGCTCCCTCCCCCAGGACCTCCCCAGGTCCCTCGGCCCATACCAAGGCTCCCTCCTCCAGGTCCCTCGGCCCATACCAAGGCACCTCCCCCAGGACCTCTTCCCCCAGGTCCCTCGGCCCATACCAAGGCACCCGTTTCCCCCAGGTCCCTCGGCTCCAGATCCAAGGCACCTCCCCAGGACCTTCTTCCCCAAAATACCCTATCGGCCCACATATCCAAGGAACCTCCCCCCAGGTCCTCGCGCCATAACCGAAGAGCCACTCCCCCAGGACACTCTTCCCGGCCGAGGTGTCCCGTCGCCCCAATAGCCAAATCAGGCACGCACCGTCTGAATTTCCACCCCAAGAGTGCCGTACTTTCCAGACAGGATGTTTTGATCCCCAGGTTCCGAGCGTCGGTCCATTAGCCTAAGGCACCTTCCCTACACAGGGGAGCCGTGTCATGTGTCCACCCCTATAAGTATCCCGTCGGGCCCATAACCAAGCGAACTCACCCCAGAGTCCTCGGCCCATACCGAGATATGGGTACCTCCTCCGCCAGGTTCCTCGGCGCCATAGCCCAAGGCAACTCCCCTCAGGACCTGCATATATCTCTTCCCCACAGGTCCCTAGGCCCATAATACCCAGCGCGACCTCCCCCCAGTACCTCCTTACCCCCCTCCAACGGTCCCCTCGGCCCACAAGACCAAGCAGCTGGCCCATTCACCCCAGGCTCACCTCTCGGCCATATCCGGTGTAAGGCAACCTCTCCCCAGGACACTCTTTGCGCCCCAGAGTTCCTTTCGCGCTCCAGTATTGGTCCTCGAAGCACCCCGTTCCGTGTACCCGCTGAGATCTCTTTCCCCGCCGGTTCCTCGTGTCTTCGCGGGCCCGGCGTGATAGCAAGGCTTTACGTCACTCCCTCCGCTCGATCCGGTGTGGTGTGGCTGTGTGTGTCGGGTTTGTGTGGTGGTTGGTGGGCCGGGTCGTGTGGCGGGATGATCGGCTGATGGTACTCGTGCTGGCTAGATATGTGCCCTATTGTGACGCTGGTCCTGGAGGTCAGTCTGTCCCCAGTGGGAGCATCTCTCTTTGTCTTTCCCAGGTCCCTGCGGGCCATACCAAGGGCAGGTCCCTCGTCCCTGTGACTCGAGAGGCTTTCCCTTGCCCGAGGACTTCTTCCACAGGTCTTCGGGCCATAGAATGGTTACATTCTGTCCCTAGGACTGTCCCGTCAGGTCTCTCGGCCCATATCCAGGGCACCGTCCCCGCAGGAACCTTTGCTTCGCCCCAGGTGCCTCCGCCCATTGACTCAAGCTCCTCCCTACCAGGTCCTCGGTGCGGCCGCATAGCCAGAGGCTATGCCTACTCCGCAGGACTCTTCCTCTCAGGTTCCTCGGCTCATACCAAGGGCAGCCGTCCTCAGGTCCCCGTGCGGCCGCTTCTCAAGGATCCCTTCCCCTATGGACGTGTCTTGCTTGTGGACTCCTAGGTCCCGCTGCGCCTCACGACCAGAGGCTCCCTCCCCCAGGACCTCTCCCCAGGTCCCTCGCCCAGTACCAAGGCGACCGTTTCGCTCTCCTCAGGACTCTTTCCCACCAGGGTCCCTCGGCCCGCAATAACCAAGGCACATCCTTCAGGTCCTCGGCCTGTACCAGGCCGCCTCCCCCAGGAGCCTCTTCTCGCTGCGGTCCTGCGGCCCCATTCACTAAGGCACTCCCGCAGGACTCTTTCCGCCCAGGTCCCTCTTCGGCCCATTAGCCAAAGCTCCTCTCGCAGGTCCGTCTCGCCCATACCAAGGCAACTCCCCCAGGACGCTCTTCCGCCCAGGTCCCTCGCCCATATCCAAGGCCATTCTCTCTGCAGGTCCTCACGGCCCATACTATTCCAAGCCGGAGGTTCCCTCGGCCCTTACCAAGGGCTCCTCCCCCGGACCTCTTCCCCCAGGTCCCATCGGCCCATACCAAAGCTCCCTCCTCTCGGTCCCTCGGCTATACCAAAGGGCACTCTCCCCCAGGACGCGTGCCTTCCCCCACGGTCCCCTCGCCACAGTTAGCGCAGTAGGCACTCCCCGCAGGACCCTCTTCAGAAGACACCCGGTCCCTGCGGTCGGCCGCATACGCAAGCGCAGCTCCCCCGGTGTCCGCTCGGCCCATAGCCAAGGCCACCTCGACCCGCTGATGGACGTCTTCCCCAAATCCCGCGGGCCCATAGCGCCAAGGAACGTGTCCCCCAGGTGCCCTGTCTGCCCATATCTCGCTGGAAGGACCTTTCCCCCAGGACCCCTTTCTGTACACCCGCCAGGGTGCCTCGGCCAGTACCAGAACTGGCGACTCCGGCTGTCCCAGGACGCGTCAGTTGTCTCCGTCGTCCAGGTCGCCCTTCGGTCCCTATATGACCAATGGAATAACCATTCCCCCTAGGGACCTCCTGTGCCCCGCCAAATTCCCTCGGCCCCATACCTAAGGAACCATCCTCCCAGTGCCTCCACTACGGGCTCCATACCTGAAGGTACCGTCCCCAGGTTCCCCGGGAGCCGCATATACTCAAAGGCCTCCCCCAGGACGCTCTTTCCCCCAGGAGTCCCCGCTTTTCGCCCATTTACCAAGGCACCTCCGCCAGGACTCTCTTCCCCCAGGGTCCCTCGGTCCCATACCATAGGCGCTGCCTCACCCAGGTCCCGTCGGCAGCCGATACGAGGCTATTACCTCCCGAAGGACCCATCTTCCCCCAAGTTGTCCTTGGCGCCCCCTATACCAAGGCTTCCCTCCCAGGTCCCTCGGCCTATACCAAAGGCTCGGCCTCCCCAGGTCTCCCTCCGCCTCATACGCAGTTAGAGCGCGGACCGTTCCCCAGATACTCTCCCTGCAGGTCCCCATCACCGTTATAGTTGAACCAAAGCTCGCCTCGGGTCCCAGGTCCTCGCCCATACGCAAGGGCACCGCAGGTCTCCCCAGCGACATCTCCCATGGTATCCCTGCGCCATACCTGAGGCTCTCCCGCTCGCAAGGTCCCTTCGCGGGCCCGAAGTACCAAGGCACCGCTTTCGTCGGACCCTCTTCTCCATCCTAGTCTTCGGCCATACCAACGGCTCCCTCCCTCTGCAAGGTCGACTCGGCACCACGGTACAAAGGCACGCGTGTCCCCCAGGAACGCTCTTTCCCGCCAGGTCCTCGGCGCCCATAGACCCAAGGCCCGCTCCTTCCAGGTTTCCATAAGTCCATTTACCAAGCGTCACCCCGTATCCCGCCAGGACCTCTCTCCCGCCAGGTCCCATCGGCCCATACCCAGAAGGCACCTCCCCAGGACCTCTTCTCCCCAGGTCTGTGCGGTCCCATAACCAAGGTAGCCGTTATCCCCCAGGAGCCTTCGTGCTTCCTCCCTAGGTCTCTCGCCCATACCGAAGAGTGGATGCAGCCTCCCCCTAGGACCTCTTCCCCCAGGTCACCTCGGCCTCATACCACAGGTACTCCCTCAGATGACCTCTGTCGCCGCGTCAGGTCCCTCCGGCCCTATTACGCGAAGGCTCAGCGCTCTCTCCAAGGTCCCTGTCGCGTCCGCAATTACCAAGGCTCCTCCTTTCCAGGGTACCCTGCGCCATACCAAGCGCAGCCCTGCCCTCAGGGACGTCTTCCCCAGGTCCCTCGGGCCATATCCAAAGTGACTCCCTCCAGGTCCGCTCGGTCCCTCTACGAAGGCTCTGCCTCCAGCGACCATCTTCCCAGGTCCTTCGGTTCCATATCTTAAGGCTACCGTATTTCTTGCCGGCCTTAGACCTCTTTCCCCTAGGTCGCCTCGGCCCGAGTACCAATAGGGCAGCCTCGCCCAAGGAACGGTTTTTATGTTCCCGCCAGGTCCCTCGGCCCATCAAAGCTCCCTCCTCTCAGGTCCCTCGCCCATACCGAAGGCCACCTCCCCCAGGGACGTCTCCCGGTCCCCTCGGCCAGCATACTCGAAGGCCCTCCCTCAGGTCCCTCGGTCCCCTTACCAATGGCTAGCTCCCAGGACCCGTATTCTCCCAAGGTTCCCTCGGCCCACAACCGAAGGCTCCCTTCCCGGGACCCTCTTCCCCCAGGTCTGCGCCCATACCAAAGCTCCTCGCTCCAGGTCCCCTCCGGCCCATACCGAAGGCACGCTCCCCCACGGACCTCTTGCGCCCGAGGTCCGCTCGCCCGTATCGCAAGGCATCTCCCTGCAGGTCGCTCGGCCCTTATCCGTTGAAGGCTCCCGTCCCCAGGACCTCTTTCCCCCCGCAGGTCGCTCCCCATTCGTCGATACTAAAGCTTCGCCTCCTCCAGTCCGTCGGCCTGATGATATAGCCCTTAAGGACAACCAAGTCTGCCTCATACTCCCTCACGGCAGACCATCTTCCCGCCCAGGTCCCTCGGCGGCGCCCGTAGCTCAAGAGCACCCTCCGTTCTCCCCGAGGACGCTCTTCTCGCGCCAAATCGCCTCGGCCCATACCAATGAATGCTCCCCCAGGTCCCTCGGCCCATACCGCGAAGGACCGTCCCCAGGACCTCTTCCCGCACCAGGTCCCTCGATCTCCAATACCTAAGGCTCACCTCCCTCAGTTCCCTTGGGCCCATACCAGAGGCACCTCTACTGTTAGTTACAGGTCCCTCGCCCTATACAAGGCTCCCTCCCCAGGTCCCTCGCCCATAACCCACAAAGGCACCTCCCCGCGAGGACCTTTCCACTCCAAGCCAGGTCCCTCGGCCCATACTGAAGGTGCCTCCGCAATCCTTCCCAGGTCCCTCGGACCCATACCAAGGCACCGTCCACGCAGGACCTCTTCCCTCCCAGGTCCCTCGCCATACCAAGGCTCAGCCTCCATTCGAGGTTCCCTCGGCCGCATACCAAGGCACCTCCCCCATGTGTACCTCTCCCTCCAGGTCCTCTGCCGCATACCAAGGGCACCTCTCCCTCAGGTCCTCGGACGCTTACCAAGTGCCTCGTACCTGTACCCAGGCACACGTCTTCGCCACCAGGTCCCCTTCGGCCCCCATAACGCAAGGCTCCTCTCCAGTTCCCTCGCCATATCCGAAGAAGCGACCGTCCCGCGCAGGACCTGTCTTCCCCAGGTACCTCGCCCATACCAAGGCAGCCTCCCTCTAGGTCGCCTAGCGGGCGCCTATATCCGAAGGCTTCCCTCCCCCAGGCGACTCGTCTTCCCCAGTCCCGTCGGCCCGTCATTACCAAAGGCAACCTCCCTCAGGTCCCTCGGCCCTTACCTAAAGGCTGTTCTTCTGCCCCCAGGACGCTCTTTCGCCCCAGGTCCCTCGGCCATACCAATGGTCTGGCGCCTGCTCTCGCTCGCAGGTCCCTCGGCCGCAGTGACCGAAGGATCTCTCGCTCGCCAGGTCCGGCTGCGGGCCATGACAAGGCACCTCCCGCCCAGGACCTTTCTGCCCCGGATATCCTCTGCAACCATACAAGGGCACCGAAGATTCTCCCCCATGGACCATCTTCCCCGCGAGGGTGCCCTCGGCAAACATACGAAAGGCACCTACCCGTCAGGTCCTTTAGAGCCCATTACCAAAGGCACCATCGCGAGGTCTACTACGAGAACACGCCATGTAGCCGGAGAGGCTCCCTCCTCCAGGTCGGCCTGGCGGCCGCATACGCAAGGCACGTCACCTCAGGACCTTGCTTCCCCCGAGTCCATCACGCCCGATTAGCCAAGGCTGTTCGCGTTCCTATGGTCCAGCAGTCCTCTGCGGCATACCATAGTGGGCTGCGGCAAATGGCCGGTCCGCCCAGGGACCTCTTTCTTCCACCCAGGTCCGGCTTCTGGAGTGTCCCATACCAAGGCACTCTTTTCCCTCAGGTAACCTACGCCCTTTAAACCTATAGGCGAAAGGCCGCTCTGGCACCCGGACCTGCTATCCCCAGTCCCTTCGCGTGCCATTTACCAAGTGATACCTTCCCTCAGGTCCCTCGTCCCTTACCAAGGCTCGCCTCCCTCCAGGAACCTTGTTCTCTACTCATGGTGTCCTTTCGCCCCGACATATCTAGTAGGCCTCCTTTTCCCTTCCAGGTCTCTATATCGCCTACCATACCAGGCTCCCTCCTCCATAGGGTCACCCCTCGGCCCATACCAAGTTGCAGCCTCCCCCCACGACCCTCCTTCCCCCAGGTCCCGCCAGGCTGTGCCATGAAGGCGCTCCGCCGCCTAGGTCCCGTCGGCCCTTCCAAAGGCTCGCCTCCTCCTGCCAGACCTTCTACCCCCAGGTCCTTCGCCCCGATAGCGACACAGGCTCCCTCCCACAGTGTCCGCACGGCCATACGCAAGGCTGCCGGCTCACCCCAAGTGTCGCTACGGTCTTCTGCCACCGAGTAGGTATTTATCTTCGACGGGTTTTGGCCTCGCTGAGGCCAGGACCGTTACCGTAATGATTCTGGGATATATTGTCGATATTAATCTCCGGCGGCCCGTCACCCTGCTGTCCTGCTCCTCTGACGACGGCAGTGCTTGAGACATTGTTTGTGGACCGTTGACTTTTATGTTAACATACATCGGATTTGCTGACTTTAATGGCAGGACTCGGGAATCAGTAGGTATCTGCTACTACGGGCGGATGGGCCGTGATGTGGGCGTGGGTCGAGACCGCAGGCCGACTACCCGCGAAGGTCGGGGGCGAGTCTCTCGGTCGGCGGCCCTCCGAGTCGCTGCCCTGACGTGCTCGTACTCTGCTGATGGGCATGTGCAAGCCAGAGACAGGATCTTCTTCACCTCCGAGTCGTGGTGCTGTACTCCCTAAAGTTGTCTGACTCTGCGGGGGGAGTTCGGGAATCAGGGCGGGACTGATGACAGGATAGGGAGATAAAAGGATGTCACGGATAGATAGGAAATGCCGGGCCACTCCAGAGAGAAGGCCCGGGCGAAGCATGACTTCGCAAATCTAACTGAACTGAGATAGGAAGCTGCAGATTGGAAGCGGGCGGGGATCAGGGCGCGAGATTGGAAGATAGGATAGACAGATTCTTAAAAGGCGTCGTAAATCGATAGGAAGGGTGGTTGATTAAGAGGGCTTTTGATGTTACAGAATCTACATCTACGACGCCACCGAATCTGTACTCCGGAAGTTGTCTAACTCTGAGGATTATAACGAAATACCACAGACACACAAACAACAAAACAAAACCATTAACACATATCAAAAGTAAAATAAAAAATAATAACAGGAACGCAAACAAGAAAAAAATATATTTTTAAAAATCAAAACAAAGATAATAATACCGCAGAAACGCAAAAGCAAAATAATAACAATAGTAACAGATAATTAACTAAAAAAAACACATTACCATTTTGTCATAAAAAATATTAAAATAACAATAATAACGCAAGAAATACTAAAAATACACAAAAATCGAAAAACCAAAAACATGGAGCAACAACGAACGCGTGCAAGTGGCGCCCACCTGTGCTCTCGACGTGCGGGTCCCGCCTGCCTTTTCTCCGCACCTTCGTGTATTCCGGCTCCTTTTGCTGCCGGAAGTGACGCCACGGTTAGCATGAGTCATTTGCTATGTAAGTTATCGTTTTTTTTTTGTTTTTTTTTTTACTGTTGTTGTAGTCTTTGGTGCTTGTTTGGCATCGGAGTCTTATTTTTTTTGTGATGGATAGTTTTGGTTAATTGTTTTATCTGCTTAGATGACGGTTTTCGGGCTGTAGTAAGCCGGTAATAGTATGTTAATAGCCTATCACAGATGGAGTCTGGTTGCATTAGGTTGCCACGTGCGTGTGGAGATAGTGATGTACTGATTATTGATGTGGCGGTCGTGGTTATCGCGCGGTGGTCGATGAGAATCAAGACGTGATAATGCTGGGTTGCGCGTGCCGTTCGTATCACCGGCTGATCATATATCATACATTTATCCAGTTGTTTCATTACAGATTTAGATATACATCTGATGCGGAACCATTATTGTTATTATTTTCGACTGATCACTTTACTAACTGTAAATTTATAGTCTGCCTGATATTGACCATCATATTATTAAGTAAGTGTTGCGTGAAATAATTGAGTATTATTATTTAATTTTCCTTTGGTTAATGGTAACAAAATAATACCAAATTTTTACGGATTTTTAAGTTTGATTACTAATAACTGCTTTCTACTGCAGACTTTTTTCCAGCCAAACAAATGCAACAAACAAACTTCACATCGCCCACAGGAAGGAACGAAACAATAATGGACCTTCTTTCCCCCGCCCCGCTGATTCACCTCCTTTGCACACTCACTCACATTCGCGTCAGTTCCAGCTGTCTCTCATCGCCCATGACCGCAGCTTCAGCCCCTCCCTATCTACCACTTATGCCGCCCCACCAATGCCAATCCGACTATAACTCCTACGACCACCTCCACGTATCCCACTCCCGGCCAGGCCCTAGGACTGCACCAATACCCACATTCGTGATCTATTGCACGTCAGGGTTAGACGTCCATGGCCTCTGAGCCTGTGATTGCTGAGGTATGATCTGGGCCCGTTAAGTATCCTGCAGCTGTCTCAGGTTGTGTGCGTCAGAGCACAACGACGGCGCAGTAGTCGGGAAGAGGGCACCACACACCAACATCGTGTCAAGCTAATACCTCTCGGACACCACACACAGTTTCCTTAATATTCTTTTTGATTGGATACGCCCTCCACTATCAATCTAAGACTGATGCGGAAGCAATAGAAAGATGCAATAATAGACCTCCACTGCATCATATATACCCGTACCCTGCATATCCTCCTTAGCCCAGCACAGGGTATAGAAGCTGCCTTAATAAGGCATTCTAACTTACATAAATAACAGCGGGGTTGTCCACTGCGACGAACCCGCCTATTGAAACTGGAATATTAATAACACCCGCCAAGTAGACGCTACTAAACCAATAGCCACATATCGGAAAAGGTCCATCCCAGACAGTAATAATACCAAAACTACAATAGTGAAGACTACAACGTGACGGCAAGAGTACATAAGTGAAGATACCTTTAACAATATCAGTAGACATGACCAGTGCAAAATTCCCTTCTACTATATGATTGCCGTACATCGTATATAACCGTACTTATTGACCTCAGCCTTGCTAACGATCTTGTAAGAAACTCAATATTAATTATGATTTTAGCAGATCAGCTCGGAACTGCATATTGGCATGCCGGCGGGCATTTCTCTGTGTGGGGAGGGATGTGAGGATTGAGGGTGAGACTTGTCCGTGCTATTCTACTCGTGTTTGCTTATTTTCGCTTCAATCTGCCGGGTCTGGGGGTCGGAAGACTCTCTGTGCTATTCGGTGGTAGGATGTCCGTCTGGTCCAGCGTTGACTTAGAGTGGTCTTTGCCGTTTTCTTTGTGTGCTTTCTTGTTGATCGTTGTCTTTTTTTTTCCTTGTTGCTGATTTTTGCTTCTTTGTCCCTTTTACACTTGCTTTTTGTGTTGCTTTTGTTTTGCTTTCGATTTTTTTGTTGCTTTGTTTCTTTTTTTTCATTTTTGGGGGAGAGCTGTTTTTTTTGATGCCTTCGTGTTTCTGCTTTGGGTTGTTAATTATTTACCAATGGAACTTTCTCTCGCGATGATGTTTTTTCTATGGATGCTTTTAGGAAAAAAAGCATAGGTTAAATGTAGAAGAGATAAAATGCAGTGAAAGGAGGTTATCGTTTCTGTCAATATGACCTTCGACCTAGTAGCCTGCTGCAATAGAAAAGTATTCGTCATCAGCAGAACTTATTGCGCGCTGAGCGCGGGTCTTGTTTTTTGTTTTTACAAGCTATATCGTACAGAAGTCACATGAGAGGAGAAAGGGAGGAGAGAGAGAGGAGAGAGAGAGACGAGATGAGAGAGAGACGAGAGAGAAGGACGAGCGAGAGAGAGACAGAGACAGAGACAGCAGTAGACAAGTAGACACTAGACGATCAGAGAGACAGCACCAGTACAGACACTGCAACATATGAGAGTTAGATTATGAGAAAGAAGATGACCGAGGAAGAAACTAGGGAATGTAACGGTTAGCATAGGAGGATACTATGGAGAGGGAAGGGGTAGATTCCGAGAGAGAGAGACGCTAAGGAAAAGGTAGGTCTTGGGTCGTATGGTAGGAACGAAGCCCCCGGCACGAGTAGGTACGAGCCCAAAGTAAGAACGATGCCCGGAGAGTCACCGACGTGAGGACTGAGAGAGTATCAGGAGAGAGAGAGAGAGAGAGAGAGAGAGAGGGAGAGAGAGAGGGGAGAAGACGTGTAGACTGAGAGAGAGTAGGGAAAGGAGAGAGAAGAGAGAGAATACGTATAGGGGAACTAGGCAACTTTGGCGGTGGCAGGCTGGGAAGGGGTCGGCGTAAAGGGCAGATGTCGCTCGGTGTGGGGATGTGGTATCTCTGCTCTCTGCGGAGGGAGAGAGGTGACGCGCATAGTGACCAGATGGTGTCGGCGGTTAGCGGAGTTGGAGGGAGGCGAGTGGGAAGAGGGTTTTCCAAGGTAGAATAGTTTCGGGGTTCGTGTCGTTTCGAAGGGGCGAGAGGAGGGGGTGGGGGAGGGCGACAGGTGGGTGGGGAGGTAAGAGGGAAGGATTCGAAGTTTGGGGGGGGGTAGTGTTTTTATTTTCTTTTTTTCTTTGTTTTTCTTATGGGGTAGTTTGTGTGTTCTGTGAAAGGGAAGTGGGCAGTGGGCAGGACTTCAATTTTTTTTTAATGTCTTTTTTTCAAGGCGAAATAGTGAGATTGGAAAGAAAAAAACAAAACAACAAAATATCGCGTAAAAAAGAATCACAGAAACTTGTAAAAACAAAAGACGATGGAGAATCACGATAGGATGACTGTGAAATAATCAAAAAAATGTATCCCACAAAAGAGCTAAAATGATCATAAATAAAGATGTCGAAGGAATAAACTAAGGCGGTAACACAAGGGCAGTGAAGTCCTGGGCTGACTTAAAAGGGTAAATCAACCTTAAAATCGGGATATTTAATAAATTCTTGATTCTTCACCAAAACCAAAGCAAATCAGAAATGATATCGGAAAAATAAAATGGAAAAGGGAAAAATACATTACATATGATTTATTGGAAAATATAAAGACGCAAACATTAGTAATAAACACTAGTATTAAACGTTTAGCTCAACAATGATACGTTATACCATGGCAAACAAACACTGAAAGATATTTACGTGAAATTATTGATCATCGATAAAAGTTAGTTGTGAAATTGCTACAAATATTCCCGAAAATCCATTTGTAATCTTCCAAACATACTCTATAGAGGACACATATGAACAAAGGAGATTATGGAAGACAAACAGAGTGCATATAAAAGATGTGTTTCAGTTCAATATTCATCAAATTTAAGATGCAGATATATAATTTAGATGTAAACATATAAAATGTTATAGATTTTCTACAAAGGATATGAAAAATACACAACAGGTTCATTTACAAAAGGAAACATTTACGCGCTTTCGCTGTGCCTCGTCTATTCCTGGACACGATTACGAATCGAGACAAGATCATGCTAGACACAGGGTCTACACTATGTCATGTGTGTGCAAAAAAAGGAAATAATACGTAGCAAACAACAGTAATTGGCTTTAACATATGGATTTTTTAAAACTAAATCAACGGCAATGACAAAAAATAAGGCAAATAGTCAATATTAATATAAAACATGAAATTGAAATAGAAATGCATAAGTACAAATGCATACCAATAAAATGAAATAACAAACCAACTGAAATGCAGAAGGATGTAAATATTTCAATAAAAGACAACACGGATGCTGGTGTTCTGATACATCAAAAATAAAATAAAATAAATAAAAACACAGAAATAAATTACAAGAAAATTCTATCGAAGCACACTATCTACTGTCGTGCAACATCCAAGAATCATTGCAAATGAACATCCATGAACAAAAATACATGAAATAATAATAATGATACATGTAAATACAGTACTCCAAAAAACCTAATACTTAAGAAACACAGGAAACAAAACCCCGTCACTCAAGAACAGAAATCAATACATCTTTCAAAACCAAACAACGGGAAAAAAAACTATGGAGGGACCCAGCCCTCAACAGCCATGCGAGAGGCGAGCGCCGCGGCAGCACCGGAGGAATCCTTGTTGGTGCTGGTGTCCTGCGTGGAGGGCGTGTTGGCCGGCAGCGCGGAGTACTGCTGGTGCTGGTTCTGCTGGTTCTGAATCTGGGCCGTCGAGGGCGACTCGGCGATGCCGCCAGAGCTGCCCCGCTCGCGCATTTCTGGGGGAGGGGGGAGGGGGGAATGGGTTATATATGATAGGACTTGATCTAAGGACCAAATGAATAAGAGAAAAAACAGAGTGAAGACGAAAGACCTTTATCTAAGATAGGACTAAATCAAACGACGAGAAAAGCACCTCAAAAAGTGAATGATAAAGCCCTCCCATATATATATATATACTTTTTTCAACCAGGACTCAACTCTAATCGCAAAGAAAATACCAAATGAAAAAAAATAAACTACCTCAAAAAAAACTCCCTCCCTTAAAAAAAAGAAAAAGAAATGAGCCCCGACGCGCGTCCTTGCAACTCACTCCTCCTCCTGAAGACGCAGACGATGGCCATGATGACCTCGATGACGATGACGACGACCACGGCGGCCGGGATGACGACGCGGAGGTCCTGGTAGAGCGGCGGCGAGATGGCCCGGTCCTTCGCGCCGTCCTCGCCCGGGAGGAGGACTGAGGGGGGATTTAATCAATTTAATCTGATGCTCTGTCGTTTAATACTTCATAAAACGATCTATTACACATTTTGACCATTTTTTTTATATCTAGGTGTTGAATTTAACTCAATCTGATGCTGTGCTTTTTCCCACTTTATTAAACGGTTTATTATACATTTAGGCCATTTTTGATATCTTTTATATATGAAGGATTATATTCCGAGCGGCTTTAGTTCATTTTATCATATGCTCTTTTTATTAAACCCTGATCATTCCTTATCAGCTCTGTTCTTTTATCGAAGACTCACCATTTCCTTCTACCGCTCTATTGGGCTTTATATGAAACAGAAAATTTAAATAAATATATTTCCTATTTTGATGTCATATCTCTGAACCCTTTCTTAAATGACCCTCAAGCACGCGAACCAATCGCACCTTTAATCACACCCCGCCCTTCCCATTAACCTTCGCCTCCCCCCCCTCCCCCACGCCATTTAAAAAACCCCTTAACCCCCTCCTTTCCTTCCCCTCCCCCCCAACCCCCAATCCATTTCAAAACCCCTTAACCCCTCCTTTCCTTCCCCACTCCCCCTCCCCCCCCACCCCCGCCATTTCAAAATCCCTTAGCCCCCCCCCCTTTCCCCCCCCCCCCCCCTCCCCCACGTATATCCTCACCTCCCTCCGGCGTGAGCGTCGTGACGTCATAGGTGGCCTCGCTGGAGCCCGCGTGGTTGTGCGCTTTGACCTGCACGATGTAGCGCGTGGCGGGGATCAGGTCGCGGATCACGTACGTCTTCTCGCTCGGAGCCACGTTGTTGGCCACCGAGATCCAGTCCTGGGGGGGCGGGGGGGGGGGGTGAGAAATTAATGCCTTGGAAGGATGTATAGATACGTTCTTGTAGATGTAGGGTTGGTAATATAAAGTATATAATACATGTATACGATGCAATAATACTGTATATACATATGATATATGATGTATAATATGATATATATATGATATAAAGATATATAATATTAAACATATAATATAAAGAGATATATATATATATATATATATATATATATATATATATATATATATATATATATACACAAACACAATCATCACCACTAAACATCACAGACCCATCGCCCCCCCCCCACCCTCCCCTGGCCACTCACCCTGGACGACGCGGCCCTGTACTCGATGACGTAATAGAGGATGGGGCAGCCCCCGTCGCCCCAGGTGCTCAGGTGGACCAGCACGGACGTCGAGTTCACGTCGAGCATTCGCGAGCGGCTGGGCACGACCGGCTCTGTTGGGCGGGCGGCGTGGGCGGCGGCGTGGGCGGCGTGGGCGGGCGAAGCGAAGTAGGCGGACGAGCGAGAGGGAGAGAAGGCGAAGGAAATTAAGGTTGGAATTATGGCTTAGAGATAGGCTGGAGTGTGGATGCTCGTTCTCACGGCTTTCCTTCGGAGGTTTGCATGGGTGCGCGGAAGGGAAGAAATGCCAACACAGGTTTACTGAGACTGGATGGCAGTTTCAGTTAATCTGTTTTAGAAGTTTTTTTCCAGCCCTGTATCAGCACGGTAGAATGTTTTGCCATTCAAATAAATGGAAAGAATAATCTTCAGACGTATAGATGGAATGTAATTTTCTATCAAAAATGTCATTGAGAATGGAACAGACAAGGTAGATTTATGATCAAGGTCGCCTTTTGTATAAACGACAGTTTTAACATTGATAAAAAGTAGTATTCTCGTTACCTTGTTGCCTAATTCTTTTAGTGTCAATTTCGTTATTATCATTATCATTACCATCATCGTCATCATTGCTATTATTGGTATCATTTATAATATCATGTATCATTACCATAATGATGGTGATGCGGATTGGCACTATTGTACACTATTATCATTACCATCATCATTATTATCATTATCTCCATTAATATCATTATTACTATTCCTATCAACAATATTACACCATTATCAATATTACTCACTCTTTACATTATTACAATCATTATCATTATTACTATTCCTATCAAGATCAAAGTCATCATATCATTATTACGATTTCCAGTAACATCATTATTCACCCTCATTACGAAACTCTCCCCCCCCCCGAGCCTTCAGAAATCCTCCTCCTAGGCCCCCCACCGCGAGGCCCCGACTCACCCGATCCCTTGGTGGACGTGGTCAGGATCTCGGAGGGCAGGCCGGTGCCCACCTTGTTGTAGGCCGTGACGTAGAGCTGGTAGCGCGACCCGCAGACGAGCCCCGACAGCGTGTGCGTGGTTCTGGCCGTGTGCAGCTCCACCTGGGGGCGAGTGGGGGGCGAGGGAATGATTGTGAGGAGAGTGATGGTGAATGCCATAAGAATAATCATCAAAATAATTCATAGAAAATATAATGCAAAACCTTTTACAGTTTACATTTCCATAGACAGACAGACAGACTAATATTGTTAATAATGATGAGTACAGTCATAAGTAGTATCACAGTTTTTAAGCATTTACTAATTCTCTTTAGATATATTATAAAGGGAAAAAACATAGTATGCATATCCATAAGTAGATCGAATGTTGTTGTTAGTAAACAGAACTGCAATTATAAGCGTCGCTTTGCAGTTCCAAAGGAATTAATGATTCTCTTGAGACATATGAAGAAGAAAAAAACATTACAACGTAAAAAAACGAGAAATGTAAACAAAGATAGGATCACACCTCTTCTATCGTAAAGAAAAACGTAAACAAACGCGCAGGGACCCACTTCCTTTAACGCAAACAACAAAAACTGTAAACAAAGACACTATCACACCTCCTCCAACGAATGCACAACAAAAAATGTAAACGCACCCAAGGTCCCAGCTCCTGACGCAAAACGACAGCAGCAAATGTAAACAAACCCGGGATCACGCTTCCTCCGACGTAAAACAACAATGAAAAAATGTGAACGTAAAACAGCGCAAACTGCAAACAAACACCGGAAGGCACCTCCTCCGACGCCAAACAACATGAAACGAGTGTGGAAGCGCACCTCCTCCCAGTTGCCGTATTCCCTCTTGTAGTTGAGGATGTAGCCCCTGACGAGGGCGTGGTGCGGGCGGAGGCTCCAGCGCAGAGTGAGGGCGTCTCTGGAACTCCCTTGGACGTAGAGCGTGGGCGGCGCGGGCGGGACTGAGGGTGGGGAGAGAGAGTAAAGTGATGAAGAATCTGTGAGGATTGTGCTCCGAAACTGTCTATGTGAACAGAAAAAATAGTATATTTCAGCTTTCAGGAAATCTTTCATGCTTTCGTTCTAAGTACACTAACATGGGATTTTTTTTTATAGGATTTGTGACATAGGAAGGATTACGTTTGCTTGGCGTAGTTATCCCCTATTTGTGGACTATCCATTGAATTTCACGCGTAAATACAAACAAAATATTTCATCTGTTAACTGATATTTACCAAGGAATCCTTAGATCAATAACCAGTATTTGCAGACCATGGGTCGTGATAAGCAACTTAATACATAAATACAAATATTACAATATTCAAAATTAATTTAAAAATGGTATGGAAATACCCATTTGGAAGACACTCGGCAGACTCGATCTATGTTCCTGTCTAAGAGAATGAAAAGTGTCGGAATCACTTCATGCACTCTTTACTTCCGCTCCCAATGAAAGGAGATTTATCTGCCTCGTTTCACTCATATTTCCTGTTCCCTAACGAAGAAAAAGTATAGGCCTCATTACGAGAAAGCTTTTACTTTTTTATTAACTAATTATCCCTCCCACTCCCCACTCCCTGGTACCTCCTCCCTACTCCAACCTCCACCCTCCCTCCCACCACTCAACCTCACTCCCACTCCCACCTCCATTCCACTCACCCTGCACAGTTAGAATGTACGTGATGGTGTCCGTGCCGTGCGCGTTGACGGCCGTGCAGCTCAGGTTCCCGGCGTCCGTTTTCTGAACGTCCCGGATGAAGAGGGACCCGTTGGGGCGGTCCTGGGAAGCGAGGGAACAGATTAGGGTCTGTCTGTCTGTCTGTCTGTCTGTCTGTCTGTCTGTCTGTCTGTCTGTCTGTCTGTTTGTGGTGCGTGTGATCGAGGCGGGGAATAAATATGTGTGTGTGGGGGGGGGGGGCAATGGGTGCGTGATGCTCTCTTTCCTTTCTGTTATGTATAGACGATAATGTACGTTTTTATTTCCATGCTATGAGGGGTATGGTAAATGCTTTTATTTCTTTATGTATCCTGTAGTGGATATACTTTGTACTGCGTGTCCTTCATGGAATTCCTTTGCTATTTTGTGCTATTCATTTGTAAAAAAAGATGATCTGTGAAGTGAAATAAACCGACAAGAGTTGAACAAAATGGCATAAAAGGATTAATGATGACAATGCACTGGTTATAACCTTTAATTTAGTTAAGTTAAAACGTTGTTTGCACTCGAGCAGCCCCGTTTCTTCTGGGTTGTTCGTTGTAAACATCGGAACATATTTATATTTTTTGAGGATTATTTTAAATACTTGAGAGAGCCTGGGAGGGCTAGAGGCTTATGAAAATGTATTTTTATGAATTATATCATACAGATTTCTCTAATATCTAAGGAAACATTGGAGTTAGCGTTTTGTTTGTTCATAATATCACACCATCAGCATTTGTACTTTGACCTCAATACCCTCAGATTTAATCCCCACCCCAAAAAAGAAAATAATAAAAAATAAATTACAACATGCCTGGATCTCCTGAAAAAACGCCACACGCCCGGACCTACAGAGCCGTTCTCACCTGTATTCTGTCCGTGGGCGTGATCTTGTTGCCGTTGAGCTTCCACTCGATCTCGGGCGGAGGCTCCCCGACGGAGTGGCACTGCAGCCGCACGTCCTCCTTCCACGCCACCTCCAGGGGGCCGCCGAAGGACGCGATCTGGGCTCTGACTGGGAGGGGCGAGAGGGCGCTCAGTCCAAGGGCGGGCGATGGGCGGGCATTGTCAGCAGAACACACACGAGTATATGCACATGCGCGCGTTTGGGCACACACAAACACACAGATAGAGATAGAGAGAGAGAAAGAAAGAGACAAATCAAAGTTTCAGAGAATCTAAACTGCCTCCCTCTTCATAGTGCCATTCTGTCTGTCTCACTTTTTAGAAGAACCTCGGGTCTTGTCAGCAAACAGAACCAAAACAGACCCCCTTTCCTTCCTCCTTTACTCCCTTCCTCTCAAACACTTCCCTTTCCCTTTCCCATGTCCTTCTTACTCTTTCCCTTTCCCTTTTCTATGCCCTTCTTATTTTCTCCCTTCCCTTTCCATGTCCTTCTTACTTTCTCCCTTTCCTCTTTCCATATCTTTCTTATTTTCTCCCTTCCCCTTTTCCTTGTCCATCCTTCTTTCTCCCTTTCCTTCTACCTACTTCAGCAACCAAAATTACCCAAAAGGTGACTTTACGTCCCTATGCAACACTATGAAACTGGCAACTCCCGGATGGACTCAAGATTGCAACTGAAAGGACCCAAACTCTACCCTTTCCCTCCCCATCCCTCTCCATCCCAACTCCTCCCTCCTTATCCCTTCCCAACCCTCCCCTCCCTCCCAACCCTCCCTATCCTTCCCTTTCCTCCCCCTCCTATCCCTTCCCCCCTCCCTATCCCTTCCCTCCCTTCACTCCCTCCAAAAGGGCACATTTCCCCTTACCTTTGCTGCTCGGATGGACCTCGATCTTGCCCGTGGCCTTCCCCTCGCCCTTCTGCGTCGAGGCTGACACCCAGAACTCGTACTTGTCCTTGGTGCTGACGCTCTCCGCCACGTACGAGGTCTCGGCCGGGCCAAGGGTGCGGGAGGGGAGCTCTCTCTGGGGGCGAGGGAGGAGGGTAAGCAGAGGGGAATTGCCGGAAGTGTTAAGGGTAAAGGTAAGTAAGGTAAACGAGGGGGGGACTGGGGAAGGCCGAAATGCAGAGACAAAGGGTTAAAAAAAGAAAGGTAAGTAAAAGTGAGCGACAGGTTCATTATGAATGGTCGAAGGGGTAAAGGTAAGGTAGAAAGTTGGGGTAAATGGAAGGGATTCAGTGACAGATTAGTAAAAGTTAGGGTAAACGAGAGGAAAATGGTGAAATATAAAGTGGTAAAAGGTTGGTGGTAGAAAGTAAAGTGAAACAAAAGAGTAATTTGTGGTGTTAGAGCGTCAAGTTCAGGCAGGTTAAAGGGTCAAGAATGAGAGTCAACAGGTCAAGAGCCACGTCCACGCAAGGCATGGGAGGAGAGGAAAAGCCAAGTGGTAAAAGGTAAAGAAGCCTTACAAGAAGGCCCAGCGGTAACCAAATCAAGAGCAAGTTCAACGTAAATCCAACTGCATATTCGAGAGCAAGTTACTCTAAGTATGGTCACACGCAAGTCAATTGAAAATAAATATGAAAATCAGACGTTATCAAGGCAACTGCGAGATCTAAAAAGGCGTCAGGTTATTCATTTTATCGTCAGTTCAGCTGAAAGATCTTTAGTTAAATCATTACTGCGTTACAAAAAAAGCAGGTGAAGTTCTGTCACAAATAGTTTTTGTTCATAAATGAGTGAGTAATTGGCACAACATCATTCTCAGTAAATAATCACACAAACCCCAAAATAATAACTGTAAGTCCCCTTCATAAGTAATGCACAAAGAAAATGTAATAAAAGAGATATGGCACACTCGAAGAAACACAACGAAAAAGTGGAGCTGCAAGGGAGACGAGCCCGCGTGCGCCTCCAACTCGAGGACCGACTGACCCGGCTTCCCTGGCTGCTGACGGCCATGTAGAGCGTGTACTTGGTCAGGATGCCGTTGACCTTGGCCGGCGGCAACCAGGTCACCAGCACCGTCTTGGCAGAGCTGATGACGGCCTTGATGCGGGGGCGTCGGGCACTGCAGGGGCACAGGGGGGGGGGGGGAGAAAGAAAGTGAAATGGCGTTCTTTTTATCTTAGCGGATGTTCTTTCATCGAGTCGTGATGTAAGTAAAATATAGCACAGATGTGATTGTTATCAGATTACGTATATAATGAATGTATGGTTATACAACTTTCCATTTAAAACAATACTTATCAAAAGTATGGCTATGTCAATAACTAAACTAAATGAAATCACTCCAACACCTAAAATATGACACAAAACCCCGAAATGCTTCCGAGAGCGTCCCAGCCCCTCGTACAACACAGAGAACGCAAGAAACCCAAAAGGGAGGGCGGGGAGGCACTGACCATCCTGCAGCGTCCTGCAGTAGACGGGCGAGGAGGGCACCCCGTCGCCGGCGCTGGTGTAGGCGAGGACGCTGATGCTGTAGTTGGTGTACTTCTCGAGGCTGAAGATGTTGGTGCTTTCGGCCGTGGTCTCTGCCTGAGCCTCCTCATCTGCCGAGGGAGTATCGAGTTGGTGTGGAGGATCTGTGGTTGCATCGAAAGGATTAACCGGCGCTCCAGCAGAGGTCTCCCCCGCCGAAGTCAAGGGAAAAAGGCAAAAATTAACAGACAAACATGGATGAGGGTTGGCAAAAAAATAACAGAATGACGAGAATAAAAAAGCGGGGGAAATGGACGCAAGCATTTTCCCCCAGTATAGCTTTGACCCCAAAACAACGCAAACGCTCAAGGCAACGCAAGGGCAGGACCTTCTGGCCGCTACGTACCTGGGTAGTCCGTGGCCGGCCGGTACAGGACGCGGTAGCCCTTGATGAGGCCGTTCTGGCCGCGCACGGGCGGCGGGCGCCACGCCACCGAGATGCTCTGGGACGACGTCGCCTCGCACCGGATCGTCTCCGGGGGCAGGCTGGGCGCTGCGGGGAGGGCACGGGTTAGGCCGGGGGAGGGGGCATGGCGGGGTGGAGGGCATGGCTGGGGGAGGGGGGTACATTTAGAGGAATGGGTGGGGGGGGGGCATGGGTTCGAGGCACCCCTGGGGAAGCTGGGCATGCTACTGCCGGGGGAGAGGAGCGGTGCCCCGCGGTCGCAGTTCAGCTCAGATTTGAAAGCAGGAGTGAACAGAGATCACATGACGAGCAGGTTCAAAATACTGCTATCCTTTTAGGCACAGTTGGCGTATCCTCTCAGTAATTAACTCAGTAATACTAAAACCTCATTGCAATATGGCAAATCATGCAGTTTTGTCTTTATTTCTCGTCTAATAGTAATTATGGCAACACAAAAAGCCAGAATTCTAAATCAAAAGTCTAAGGCAACAGAATGCCCTCCTTTGCCTCCGCCACAGAAAAAGAGATGAAGGTGATGTGGCACCATGTTCATCACTCATAATCGGGAATTTATGTTGGTCTCACCATCAGGAAAAATGCTCTGCAGTTTTTTTTTTTCTCTCTTTTAGGACTCATCCAGAACATAAATCTCAATAATCATTAGTTAGTATCAATGACTGTCAATCTCTCATCAATCATCTTCATTAATCACCATCATTCATCATCAATCACTCCCGTCAGTCACTGTCGCTATCAAGCACTAACAATCATTCTCATCAAACGCGTTTATAAATCCCCATCAGCCGCAATCAATCCCCACCAACCACCATCACACCATCACCCACACCAACTCACCAATCCCCCAGTCACCCCACCAATCATCAATCACCATCAATCCCTAACAATCACCACCAACCCTCCCCCAATGGCTCACCGTCCTCCTCCGTGGTGGCGATGACGGGGGGCGAGAGGGGTCCGACGCCCCTGTTGTTGAAGGCCTGCACCACCACCTCGTAGCGCGTGTACTGCTGGAGGCCCGACAGCGTGGTGCTGCCCCCGTACGCGGACCCGACCTGGGGGGGGGGGGGTTATTAAGGGGAGGGGGGTTGTGTAGAGAGTGTGGGGGTGTTTTGTGGGTGTCTGTGTTTGTTTGTTTTGGGTGTGTAAGTGTGGATATTTGTTTGTGTGCGCTTATGAATGAATGTGTTTGTTTGTGTTTGCATGTGCACATGCCATGCAAACCAAACAGCGCTTTCTTTTACATCATGACAAATTGTGTTATACTTAAAGCGCTTTCCATGAGGATCACAAAGGCCTAATAAGTGGTGTTCGAAGCACTAAATGCTACTACATAAAGACGACTGAATGATATTGCAGAAAAACTGAATACTACAAAAGTACTAATTAGTGTTGCAAAACAACAAAAAATATAAGACAATTTTTACAAAACAATTTTTTTTTACAAAATCTAAATGTTTTAAAAAAATACGTTTAAAACAAAAAAAAGTTACAGAACACAAAAAATGTTACAGAACACACATAAACAAAAACTGAAAATGTTATAAAACAACGTAATGATCTCACAAACCAACTAAAAGCTGTTACGAAAAACGAAACAACTTTCCGAGGCAACGCAACGCCCGGCGGGGGCCTCACCTCGACCGTCTGGATGTTGTAGTCCGTGGCGTGGACGTGCGACTTGTAGCCCACGTAGTAGCCCAGGATGTTGCCGTTCCACAGGTCCCTCGCGGGCGGCTCCCACGTCACGCGGAGGGACGTCGACGACTCGGGCGTCACGCGGACTTCTAAGGGCGGCCCCGACGGCTCTGCGGGCGGGCGGAGGGCGTGAGGAGGGGGTTCTGGCTGTGCTTGGGAAAGCGGTGCCTACATCTCTGTCTCTCTCTCTCTCTCTCTCACACACACACACACACACACTATTTCTCTGCTTTTCACTTTCTCTCGCCATCCATCTATTTATCTATTTCATTTTCTTGGTCCTACCCGTTCTTCTTCTCATCTGCTTCATTAATCCATCCTCCTTTCCCTCCTTCCTTTCTCCTTCCCTGACTCACCTTCCTCGTCGGTGGCCGCCTGGATGACCTCCGAGGGCGTGCCGAGGCCGAGCGAGTTCTGGGCGGTGACCCTGAGGTGGTAGGCGGTGGCCGGGACCAGCTCGTGGATCACGCCCTCCGTCTGCTCGCCGGGCACGCTCAGCTGCTCCGGCATCCCTGGCCAAGGCTCTGGGGGCGGCCGGGGTTGGGAGGATGGGCGGGGTTGTGGTGGGTGGGGTATAGGGCGGTAGGGGAGGGGAGCCGGGGTTGGGTGTGAGTGGGGAAGGGTGAAGTGGACGGGAGGAAATATGGGCGAGGGGTAGGGGTGATGGGGGAGTGGCAGGGGGCGTAGGAAAGGGTAAGGGGGAGGTAAGGGGCAGGGTTGGGAGTGTTAGTGAGGGGGTGGAGGAGGGGGCGAGGAGGGGGGTGAAATGGACCAGCGAGGGGGCGGGGGTGGAAAACACAATAATTAGTATGAAGTTATGATGTTATATTTATGTTTTGTGAAACGCATTTCACATTTCACTAATTCATACTCATAGATAATGTACAGTTTAGATTGATATCGCCATCATTAATCAATATTTAACATAGAGGTAATCAGTCCAATTCTACACTGATGAATGGGAAAGTCCAATTGCCGTAATAACTCTAGATTTATATATTCACAGTTATTCATATTTATAGCCATACATTTACATCATGAAGAGATCACTGGTCAGTAGAAATATAGCTGGCTTATCAACGGTAATTCGATCAACAACTTACTACATTATTATTGAAACGGAATCCTAGCTCGGAAAAAATATATAAATTGCATAACATTTGTTATGTAATTGGTAAAACATATCGTGGTTTAGAGTACACTTTTTTTTATCTCCATGAGACATTACTACATGGATGTGCCAACATATATCGGTTTGTGACCAACGGAAACTAAGTCACACTGTAAGCTACAACTTCTCCTGGACTCAGCACTCGCCAGAAGCAAACGTAACCGAAGCTACCTTATACCCTCCACCCCATACTGTCCTCGGGAGCTACCTCACACTTAACCTACCCCTCATACGGCCCTCCTCCCACACATACCGGAAGCTAACTTATACTGGATGAGGTAGTTCTGGATGGGAGAATTTCCGTTGTAGGGAGCCGTCCACGAGAGCTTGACGCGGCGGCTGTGCGTCTCCACCACGCGGAGGTTCTTGGGCTGCTCCGGCTCCTCTGGGGAAGGGCGGGGAGATGAGAGGGGCGTTGGGGTTGGTATTGGGGCTATTGTGCTCGATGGAGGGTGGGTGAGAGAAGTCTTATTGGTGTGATTGTTTTTGCTGGTGTTTTCAATGATGCCGGAAGGCGAGAGCTGTCGTCATCGTGGTTATTGTTTGATGAAGGTTGTGTGAGATAGGCGTTGTTGATGTGGTTATTGGTGAAGGTGTTTGGATTTTATTACGGTTGTGTGAGGTAGACTTTCTTGCTGTTGTTTTTCAATTCATGCGAAATAGATAGTGACGAATTACTCTCAAAAATCGCCAAATGAACTTATATTGATAGGTTGGTGAATAATTACATTAAAAATACCTGGAAAATGAATGCACACGTATTTCAATAAAGACACAGCGATGCTAACGAACTGGACAAAACCACGCGACAGGAGGGACTCTCCCCCACGGACCTTGCACCACCAGCTCGATGTTCCTGGTGTCTCTGCCGAAGGCGTTGGCGGCGTGGCAGGTGTAGGTGGCCGAGTGTGACCTGGCGGCGGAGGTCAGGGCCAGCTCCGAGGTCAGGCCACCGTCTATGACCTCCTCGCGAACCTCAATCCTTGATGGGGAGAGACGGGTCTTTGAGTGAGGTTTTAGGGTTGAAGGATTGCAGGGTTCTGTTGTTGCTGTTGTGTGTTTAAAGTTATGGCTGATGCTGAGCAGATGTGGGGATGGTTGTGAAGTCTTAGGTTCTGTTACTATGACTATTCTTGTCTTCGCCAGAGCTACTGCAGTGTCACTGTTTTGTTTGTCTTGGTCACTGAAATGGAACCTATCACCTGATCACAACCGATATGTATTCAGAATATATCTAGCCCTTATTTAGTATGTGTCACTTGTGTAGTACATGGACTGACGTCCCCTCTGACGGAGGCGTCCTTCCCTCCTTCCTCGGCGCCTCCTCACCTAGAGTCCTTGTGTGCCCACCTGGGGTCGGCGTGGGGGTCCAGGCGGCGCCCGTCGACGGACCACAGGATGTCGATGGGGCGGTCGCCGCGCGCAGGACACCGCAGCACCGCCGTCTGCCCGATGCGCACCACCTCACGCCCCATCTTCTCC